TCGCAAAATCGCACTTCAGCGCCACGAGGGTCATCAGTGACCCCGTCGCAATTGATATGTCAAACATTATTATGCACTGTCACTTATTTATTACAAAATAATATTTCAACATTATATGTATCGCCTAATAGAAAATTCATCGTAGCGCCACGGACCATTACTATAAAATTCGCGTGGCATTCAACGTGTTAAACAGACATCTGATCTTGAAAGACGTATGGGGTAGCAAATCTTTATTTCCCTATTTTAAATAATGTTTGTGTTTCTACAAATCGAAACTCTAAATGCACAACACGATACTTGTACTCACCATCTCGTACCAAGATTTTTTCCACGTAAGAGTCGGTGCTGATATGTAAATTACTCCTCCTCCAAGCTGGACGAAGGAAAGCCTTCGCAGCGCTGCATCTCATACCATCCCTCACCGTTCCCATACAAAAACTGAATCCGGTTTGATTGGCTCCGGTCACGTCGACTTCGTCGTAACCCCTTTCCTTTATGGCTTCCATGAAATATTCAGTTATAGGTGCATAATAACCGAAATATTCGACGGTCAGATATCCACCGACGCCGTGGTAGGGTGATTCTTGATATTCTTCGATTCTCATGTCTTCGGATTTCTTGAAATACGGTAACACGCTTTCGTAGTTCCATCCTGGGTTGCCCGCTTCCTCCCAGCGGTCATAATCGTGTCTGTTGCCACGAGTATACATCATTGAATTTACTACGCTGCTTCCGCCAAGCGCCTGTGAAACGATCAAAAATTAATCATTAGAAACAAGACAGTTTTTCGTTATTTAAGTGTAATACCCTGCCGTGACCCCAATTGCACCCAATCTCTTGGCTTATGCAATAATTAGCTGATGGAAGGGTTGTAAAATTCCAGAATAACGAACTCGGTTCTAGTCTCGTAGACATCATTGTTATATCGGTCGCGTAAGGTTCGTTCGGTCCAGCTTCGAGCAGCAACACCGACCATTTTTCATTTTCGGACAATCGGTTGGCCAATACGGAACCCGCGGAGCCACCCCCGATTATGATAAAATCATAATTACTTCGTAAACTGGGTGGAGGGGTCGGTCTCACCCTGTTTTCGAGATCGGCAATGTCAGGCCTGTACAGCACGATNGTAGTATTTATTACAGTATTAGTAATGTACTACAGCCTGCTATCTTACAATTTTGAAGTCTTATCTCTCTGAATTCTTATTGTTCTTCTTTGTGGAGTATGAGAATGAAGGATAGGACATATTTCACAATTACTCGATGAAAAACATTAAAATAACTATTGAATTAGTTACACGTGTATTTCATGGAAGCAAAGATATAAAAGATACATATTTCAACTTGACGTCCGAATAAAACGTAGAAATCGAACCACGTCTCAACAATCAACGGGGTTGTGCATTCTAATTCTTCCAGTCTTGTTTAATCATGTCAGCAGCTTTTTCAGCGATCATTATAGTAGGCGCGTTCGTGTTCCCGGAAACGATGGTCGGCATGATCGAGGCGTCGATCACTCGTAGTCGAGATATACCGTGTACCTTGAGTCTAGCGTCGACCACTGCCATTTTGTCGCTAGCTCGTCCCATTTTACACGTTCCAACTGAATGGTACGACGTAACGATGTTATTTCGGGTTAAACAACGCCAATAATTCCTTGATAGATATTTTTCCGACGAACACCCAGGAATTTTAGGTATGTTCGGTTGAAGGTTTAAAGACTTCAACGACGGTGTTTTGATCATTTCGTAGGCGAATTTTGCACCTTCGGTCTAAAATTAAATTCCAAAGATATTTGTATCATGTATCACGTATTACTTAAGGATATTCTTGAATTTCGTTACCATAACGTCGAGATCGTGCGGATCTTGGAAATAGTTGGTAACTATGATCGGGTATGCTTCAGGTTTCGTTACATTGAGTTTGATATATCCCCTACTCCGTGGTCTCAATATTTGTGGAATGACAGCATAAGTAGGAGTTGAGACGTTAAATTGGGACACATTGCCTACATTCCCTAACATTAACTCTATGTCAGGATAATTTTCGGATTTGTTTGCATATCTGAAATGAACGAATTTTATTCAAATGGAATAATGTAGACTTAAAAATTTGGAAGTCATGTAGCAAATCATCAAAATTGCACGCTAACTACGAAATTACGAACACTGACTAACCTGGTATTAATAAAACCCACAACCTCAACACCTGGCTGACGGTACATTGGTCCATTATGCTCTACAGCGAATTCTGTGAGACTCTGTTCATTAAGACTATTTTCGAACGGGAAAGACTCGGATCCTGTATAATTTTCCGGTGTGAACCCGATTAAAGAGAATCCAGTGAACATCACGTGATTCTGATAATTTCTCCCTACACCCGGGGCATCGAGAACTACCGGAATATTTAGTTCTTTCAAATGATCTCTTGGTCCGATACCAGACAGCATCAATACTTGCGGCGATTGTAGCGCGCCCGCTGACAATATCACTTCACGATCTGCTGTTACTATGTAACGAGTAGATTGGAAACGAAATTTCACACCATAAGCAATTTTCTTCTTCCCAACTGGAATTTGAAATTAATATAATAAAGTTTGTCCCGACATAGTCNTGGTCCCATTTTACACGTTCCAACTGGATGGTACATCGTCTGGGTGTTATATCGGGCAAAACAACGCCAATAATTCATTGATAGATATTTGGCCGACGAACACCCAGGAATTCTATCTATGTTCGGTTGAACGTTTAAAGACTTCAAAGTCGGTGTTTTCATCATTTCGTAGGCGAATTGTGCACCTTCGGTCTAAAATTAAATTCCAAAGATATTTGTATCATGTATCACGTATTACTTAAGGATATTCTTGAATTTCGTTACCAAAACGTCGAGATCGTGCGGATCTTGGAAATAGTTGGGAACTATGATCGGGTGTCCTTCAGGTTTCGTTACATTGAGTTTGATATATCCCCTACTCCGTGGTCTTAATATTAGTGGAATGGCAGAATAAGAAGCAGTTTTTATTGAAATGTTAAATTGGGACACATTATTTACATTCCCTAAGATTAACTGTACGTCAGGATAATTTTCGGATTTGTTTGCATATCTGAAATAAACGAATTTCACTAAAATAGAATAATGTAGATTGAAAAATTTGGGAGTCATGCAGCAAATCATCAAAACGCTAACTACGAAATTACGGACACTGACTGACCTGGTATTAATAAAACCCACAACCTCAACAGCTGGCTCACCGTACATTGGTCCATTATGCTCTACGGCGAATTCTGTGAGACTGTGTTCATTAAGACTATTATCGAACGAGAAAGGCTCGGATCCTGTATAATTTTCCGGTATGGACCCGACAAAATTGAATCCAGTGAACATCACGTGATCCTGAAGATTTTTCCCTACACCCGGGATATCGTGAACCACTGGAATATTTAGTTCCTTTAAATGATCTTTTGGTCCGATACCAGACAACATCAACACTTGCGGCGATTGTATCGCGCCCGCTGATAGTATCACTTCACGATTTGCTGTTACTATGTAACGAGTAGATTGGAAACGAAATTGCACACCATAAGCAGTTTTTTCGTCTCCATCTGCAATTTGAGTTAATATAATAAAGCTTGCCCCGATATAGTCTTCGTCCTTCTTTCTCTGTAAAAAGACGTCTGATCTTGTAGGAAGTTTAGTGTAGCGAATTTTCATGCTTCTATTTTAAATAATTTTTCTATCTCGTGTAGAAGACTAGAAATTATTAACTACAAATCAAGATTCTAAATACATAACACGATACTTGAACTTACCACCTCGTACCAAGATTTTTTCCACATAAGAATCGGTACTGATGTGTAGATTACGCCTCCTCCAAGCAGGACGAAGGAAAGCCTTCGCTGTGCTGCATCTCAGACCATCCCTTAATGTTCCAGTAATTAAACTGAATCCAGTTTGATTGGCTCCGTTCACGTCGACTAAGTCGTAGCCCATTTCTCTTCCTGCTTCGATTAAATAATTAGTTATAGTTGAACGATAACGAAAGTTTTCGACGGTCAGGTATCCACCGACGCCGTGGTAGGGGGATTCTTGATATTCCTCGACTTTCATGTCTTCAGATTTTTTGAAATACGGTAACACGCTTTCGTAGTTCCATCCTGGGTTGCCCGCTTCCTCCCAGCGGTCATAATCGTGTCTGTTGCCGCGAATATACATCAGTTTATTTATGGTGCTGCTCCCGCCGAGCGTCTAAATAGTGATTAAAAACTGAATTATAAAGAATGTAGTATTACTATATAGTTTAGTCATCCTAAAGAGAAATACCTTGCCACGAGGCCAAGAGCATTGATGATTTTCCGCCGCTTTGCAATAGTTATTCGATGGAGATGTTTTGAAATGCCACGCTAATGAACTCATTGGTATTTTCGCTGTTGTCAGTGGTATATCAGTGACATAAGGTTCGTTCGGTCCAGCTTCGAGCAGCAACACCGACCATTTTTCATTTTCGGACAATCGGTTGGCCAATACGGAACCCGCGGAGCCACCCCCAATTATGATGAAATCATAATTATTTCGTAGACTAGGCGGAGGGGTCGGTCTCACCTTGTTTTCGGGATCGGCAATGTCGGGTCTGTACAACACGATAAGCGTTTGAAGAATAACGAACATCCAATCGATCCTCGTGGACGTTTCTGCTATCTGAGTCGCGAAACACTGAATGATGTTCGACATTTTATTTGATAATTAATAATATGAATTGTCGCGTTTTTTTCGTATAATGTAAAATTAATGTATGCGTTCAATGATGTTGAGAAATGACGTACTGAGGTGGCTCACCGTTTTGACGTGCTGTTTTATATTCATATGCATTTAGTAGAACTTTAGTTTATCTGTAACAATATCTCAGAAATTTCGTAATTACCTATAATTTCTGCAATAAGGAAGTCGTAAATTATATATTCTATTGCTATCATTATGTCACCAACATCGAATGAATCATGTACTTTTAATGTACTGCAGTGCACGTATGTACGTGGTTTGGTATGGGACAATCGGCGACTAATGCACGCGAATTGTGCAGCACATATATTTCATCTATAGGTTGTATTTATATTGCTATTATTAACGAAGTATCGGGCAGAATTGATTAGATTAGCTGTCCTATACTATTATACAACCTATTGTCGTACTATTTTAAAGTCTTATCTCTTTAAACTCCTATTATCTTGTCGGTGGAATATGACAATTAAGGATAGGACATATTTCACAATTATTCAATGAAAAGCATTGAAAGCACCATTGAAAGAATCATACGTGTATTTGATGAAAACAAAAATGTAAATGGTTTCTTCTTCAACTTTAAAAAATTTAGATGTCAAACTACATTATAAGAGGCTGAGCAGTCTTTATTTGTTCCAATCTCCTTTGATCATGTCAGCCGCTTTCTCAGCGATCATTATAGTAGGCGCGTTCGTGTTTCCCGAAATGAGCGTTGGCATGATCGAGGCATCTACCACGCGCAAATTAGACACGCCGTGTAATCTGAGTCTGGCGTCGACCACTGCCATTCTGTCGCTAGCTGGTCCCATTTTACATGTACCTGCTGGGTGGTATGCCGAGGCGGTATAATATCGGGCTAAACAACGCCAATAATTCAATGATAGAAATTCGTTCGATGAACAGCTAGGGACATTGTTTATGGCCGGTTGAGCGTTTAGAAACCTGAACGCAGATGTTCTCGACATATTGTAGACGAATTGTGCAGCTTCTGCCTGAAATTAAATTTCAAATACACATAATGATTTGAAATATAATAGATATAATGATTTGAAAATCGATGCTTCTCTATGAACATAACTAATAATAAATGTGCAATTTTTAGCATATTTTAAATCATGTACTGTTTGGATATTCATGAACTAACCAGACATTCAAGATCCTGCGGATCTTGGAAATAGTTGGGAACTATAATTGGAAATCCTTCAGGGTCCGTGGCATTTAGTCTTATGTATCCTCTGCTTCCTGGCCTTAATAATATTGTCAGCACAGAATAGGTAGTGTTAATTGGTGAAATGTCAGTATCCGTAGCATTTGCATCAGGTGAAAAGACTACTTCTATATCAGGATAATCTCCGGATGAGTTTGCATATCTGCAAACGATTTAACGATTAATAAAATAATTGGGATAAATAAATAAATAAATGCAGTCATGAAAATTGCATGTTAATTATAAACATGGACTAACCTGGTATTAATAAAACCCATACTGTCAGTATCTGGTTCTTCGTACATCATTCCAGTACGGTTCATGGCAAATTGTGTGAGGGACTGAGAGTCAAAAGCAAATCTGCCTGCGTATGTGAAAGGGTCGGAACCAGAATAATTCCTCGGGACAGTCACGATATAATTGAGTCCAGTGAACGTCACATGATCCTGAAGATTATTCCCTACACCCGGGGCATCGAGAACCACTGGAATGTTCAATTCCTCCAACTGATCTCTTGGTCCGATACCAGATAACATCAATATTTGCGGCGATCGTACTGTGCCAGTTGACAGTATC